TGGAGTGTTCGGGAAATAGTTTAACCTCATATACCCGTTGGGAGGTTCAAGGAGATGCAGTTTATACTCATATACTCATCGGAGTGTTCGGGAAATAGTTTAACCTCATATACCCGTTGGGAGGTAGCCAGGTTATTCTTAAGAATATTTTGAGTGATATTCTCCAGAAACTTCCTGTTGATGGTAGGGAAACAGTTTAGACTCGTGTATCCATTGGAGTAATATGGTCTTTTTTTTATTGGTAGAGATGAACCCACTCCTGGAGAGGAAGAATTTTATATTCTATCTCCTGGTCTCTTGTTTGTTGGTAGAGATAAACCCAGAATCGGAGAGAAAGAATTTTATATTCTATCTCCTGGAGTAAAGAAACTCAAAGTGGGATCTCCACTTAGAGGATCTGGACTGGTTTGAATAATCCTGACTGTCATAGGGTTTGATTATTCAATTCAAAAGTAGACCTCTCGTTCATGAAATGAATCGAAAGGTCATTTTGGTTAAGGTTTGATCAAGTGGGAGTTTTGAGGCGATCCTAACTGTTTAAAGGTTTGATCATTCGATTTGTGGACCTCTCGTTCATGGAAGGAATCGAGAGGGGATTTTGGCTTTGGTCTTAACTGTTTAAAGGTTTGACCATGAGAGAATTTTGTGAGGGAAGATTGATCCAACGAAGTGATCGAATCTCACCTTAGCAAAAGAGTATTTGTAAATCACCGTGGGGATGTAGTGTTTATCACTTTGTTTATAATGATCGGATTATCCCTAAGAAAATTACATATAGCATTCTTTCGGGAACTTCCCGTTACATGAATTATCCACCCTCATCTTTCTTTGCAAAACTAGGTGTAACGAGGAGTACGTTATCCTCAGTTGCATGTTCGAGTTATCCTTAAGAATATAAGATTCTTCAGGAACTCCCCGTTATATAAATCATCCACCCCCAGCTTTCTTTGCGAAACCGGGTTTAACATTGTACTTAGTTGGATGACCAAGAAGCAGTTTATACTCGTATACTCTTTGGAGTGCAGGAAAACAGTTTATACTCGTGCACCCACTGGAGTTGGAGTCGTATTTATTCGGCTTGTTTCGTCATTATGACGCCGGAGTCAATTAGGGCTTGGATCTTATTTTTGAGTCCAAAGCAAATATTGGTGGGATGAAGAATTCTTCTGTGATATGCACAGTAGTTTGGATCTGTAATCATCTTAGCATCCTCCTGATCTTTAATAGGCGGTAGCTCGATTTTGTCATTGGCGAGGAGGTATTCCAATATGGCTGGAGCTTCATCGTCTTCGAAAGAATACTCCTTTTGGAACCTCGGATCGAGAGTCGTGTTCACAGGAATTGTGGATGTCGTTGGTTGACCTCTCTCAACTTTCTTTCTTTTAAGAAAGTGTTCAGCTTGCTCACCACGTAGTTTTAACTCTTTCCAAGTGGTGGATGGTACGACCCGCAGAGCTTCCAAGACATCGATGGAGAGGTTATTGTGGCATGTTTGCAGGATGAACTCCTCTGTAATAGGATCTCTGCAATTCATTGCTTTGCCACGGAAGCGCTTAACAAAATCGTCGACTGACTCTCCGTCTTTTTGCTTCTCATCCAGAAGGGTTCTGATTGACACTTCGGTGTCATCATCGAAGAAGTTGTTGAGGAACAAACTTTCCATGTCATCCCAGCAATTGATGCTCCCTGGCTTGAGACGTCGGTACCAATCGAAGGCGGGCCCACGAATGGTGCCAACGAATGACCGGACCATTAAATCCTCGTTTCCAGAGATCATGTCCAAATGAGACTTGAAATAAATCAAGTGCTGAATCGGCGAACTCTTCCCCTCAAACGGTGTGAAGTTAATCAGATTGAACTTTATCGGATACGGTATTGAATCCCATTAAAGATAATTGGACCACCCCCAGTGAGAGGTGCTATTGAACCACCCCCAATATCGTTATTGGGAGGATCCGTTAAACCACCCCCAGCGTTATTGCCATTGGGAGGTGTATCAGCCATAATGACTTCATCCACCTCTGGATCACTGTCATCTACAACATTCCGAGTGTGGTGGCTGGATTCAAATCGCTGATTGGACTCAGGAGGTTGAGGCTGTTGAGTTAACAGTTCTCTCATTTGTTGGATAGCCAACTTCATTTCTGTCTTCACTTCAGCTCTAATTTCTTCACGTTGTTTGGCTAGAGCTTCCTGAAGTATTTGAGTGAACTGATCAGCAGTGATTGTGAATACTTCTCTGATTTGTCCTGTGCTAGACATTGTATCATCAGAAGCGATTGCAGAATAAGTGTCCGAGAATTCATCCTCCGAGGACATTCCTTCTTGCATTCTTTTGTAATCTCTGCGTCTGATGGCTCCTAATTGGAGTCGAGACATCCTTTGAGCAATTCTTGGATTGACTTTTCCTCTCGGGGAAAAGTCGGGATTTGAGTCACTTGAATGTCGCTTAGACTTTCTTTTATCAGCCACGTTGATGGTGACTTCAGGGAATTCATCATCTTGGGCAGCTGATTTTCTTTTGTAGAAATATCTCGGCTTAGGCTTCGACGATACAGAGACTCTTCGTGGGATGGCTTCTCGTTTGAAACAGTCACATTCTGATAATGCTGCTTTAACGAGTCGCACACAGGAACAATGAGAGTTTATTTCTCGAATAACTCTCTTTCGAAAATTATTCACAACCCCAACTTGATAATACAATTCATCGGTATGATTGCTAAAAAATCGTATCGTCTGTCGGCATGACCTCTCAGGTATGACGATATCATTTGGTGAATGCGTCTTCTTCTGGGGGTGTAAAACCTTGTTGGCATTCTCAGGATAATTTATTTCTGTCTTTGAGCGATCCAAGGTTATGTCGGGAGTCGCACGTTTAAAACCACCCCCTTGCGGGTATGGAATCTTAACGGGCTCCGAATGTTGATTTTTTACAACTTCAGACTTTGGAATCCAAACTTGGCGGAGATTCGGTGGTTCTTTGGCCACCGTTTCCTTCTTTCTTTCTCGTCTTTGTTGTAAAAGAGCACGGGCATGAACAGCATTTGCACGACGTTTTTGTATACGTTCTTTGAGGGTCGAACGAGTCCTTTTGACAATAGTCCATTCCTCCATCGTTAATTTAGCAGAGACATGAATGATTGGTCGTTGAGACAACTGAACCACTCGATGCCTCCTCGACTCTAAGTCCGCATGATAACGAACTCCGTCGGTTTGTTCCAAGGCTTTAGCCATTTGGCGAGCGCGGCGCTGACGTTGTCTCTAACGAGCCCTCTTCGTCTGTGCCGGTGGGCTTTGATTTGATGACTCTTTAACAAGATAAGAGTCATTGTGAGCAGAGGTGTTGCGAGTAAAATCCTCAGCAACAATCAGGCGAGAGTCTTCATTCTGTGCCTTCTTTGGCATGGAAGTCTTCTTCAATGGTGAGATCCTCTTGTACTTGCGAGACAATGAAGATCTTGAAGAGGATGATGAGAGATATTCCTCAAACTTGGTTTGGTCGAATTCGTATTCGACCATGGATTCAACTGGAATCTTGATCGGCTGCGACACGACGGTCTCGGCAGCGAGACCGTTGGCTCCCACTGTGGTCGCCAGCTTGTTTGCGTCAAAAGTTGGTTTTGCTGTGGAATTCATTATATCTTCAGTCGATTACAACAAATTCAAAGAAATAGTCTTTTTATAAGACTTCTTTTACACAACAAAATGAAAATTATAACTCTTGGGAAACAAACGCAGGATCGTTGTTTGGATCACTGCTTGCGTGGGATCTTTGCCTGTGCCGGGGGTGCGTTAGCCCGTGGACCACCAAATCACAGATTCTGATCAAATCGTGAGGGGTTTATGATTCTGACTTCGTTTATCGAAGTGAGAAATTGAAACGATATCTTATCGATGTAAGATAGTCGTTCTTCTTGAAATCAAGTCAAAGCCTGAATATCAAGGAGTTGCCAGAAGCTCAAGAACTCTGCTCTCTCTCTGCTCTGGAATGCTCTGAAGTGCTCAAAAATGATCAGCCCCCCTGAGAAAATAGCCTTCGGGGAGTATATATAGCCTCTAGGAACAGTTGGCAGAAAAGCATCCTGCTTTAACTGCCGCGGCACCATAGGTTGCAGCGGTTAAGCCGCGACACCATAGGCTGCCGCGCCTTAGCCGCGGCACCTTGGGCTGCCGCGCCTTAGCCGCGGCACCTTGGTCTGCCGCGCCTTAGCCGTGGCACCATGTCCTGTCGCGCCGCCATGTTTTGCTTGATGACGTGTATATTGTTCTTCTATGTTGTCTTGAGTGGTGTTTGGATGTCTGTAAGCATTTTTTGACGCCTACAGAAGTGACGTGTTGGAATATCAAATTAAAATGTTAGAATAAATGAGGTTAATAGCATGAGTTTTAGAAGTGCAAGGGTCATAAGTTTAGAAGGGGAAGAGACATAGGTTATGGAAGAATAAGAGTAACTTACTCATTTATGATATTTATCTTTATGGCATTAAAATAGGAGTTTAATTTGTGACTATTGGTATGCCTAGACGTTTTTGTTTTTGAAGCCTATATAAAGGGCTATTGTAATCCTTGTTTGATATGAAGAGAGAAAATTGAAGAAATATAAGTGAGTTCTTTATTTGAAAGAGTTCTAAGTTCGTAAACTTAAGAGTCATCATTACTAGCGTCCCATCGAGGGTGGAAGCAAGAACATACATCCCAATAGGAGAAAACCTAACAAAAGAAACCGGCGGGCTTTCCTCATCGATCAACGTCTTCACTTCCGGTGCCCTCTGAGTGGCAGCGCTTATCCACAATCTCACACTAAAAACTCACAAATTTTAACTTATTTACTGAACTGCCACCTCCGAACAAGTTCACGTTGCCCGCACCCTCGCGCTTTAGCGCTCATCGACGCCGGCCGAGAAAAAAATAATACCAAAAAGGAAAAGGATTTACAACATAATAAAACAGAAGATTTTTTAATTAAAACCTATAAAAAAATTAGGCAGAGAAGAGACTACGGGGAACCGCGTCTATCTGCATCCGAGCCCGATAAGATCTGAGCGAGCATGGGCTCGCACCTGCATCTCGAGCGCTGCGATGTAATCCGTCGCCTCTTGTAGAAGCGTCGGAAACGAGCCGAAGGACAGCTTCCGGCAGCCCGGAACCAGCCGCCAAAAACCCTAACTTTCCTGCAGGATCGGCGACTTTTTGGGCGGGAGCGACGGTTCGGATCGAGGAAGATTATTTCTTTTGAGGGGTTTGGGGCTGAGAGCGAGCGGTTCGAGAGGATGGCACGCTCTAATCATGAAGATGATGTAATCTCTCTAGAAATTTTCGTCTAGGATACCAGGATTTTTTAAAAAAAAAATTTAAAAATAAAATTTTCGTCTAGAATACTATTCTAGATGAAAATTTCCGTCTAGAATATTTTATCCTAGACGGAATATTCTAGATGGAAATTTTTCGTCTAGTTTAATACATTCTAGACGGAAAAATTTCCGTCTAGAATATTCCGTCTAGGATACGTGAATTTTTACTAGTGGCCCCATGTCATTCACCCTAAAAGATGAGCAGGTTGTATATATCTACTATTATATTAGGGTTTTTTATATTAATCCCTATAATCTTTAATATAATTTAAAATTATCACATCATTGGGAATTCTATTAGGTCTTCCAATTCTTAATTATTTTTTGTAATTAGTCTCTTAAAACATTTAAATTTCTATTACATACTATAATTCTTAAGTTATTTTGAAATTAGACCCTCCGATTAAGTAAATAAATAGCAACTAGAGAGATTAACTTGAAAGTTGACTGAGACTTATTACAAATGGAAAACGAATGGAAGAAGAACAAACACAAAATTCGGATCTCTCATAAACACACTGGATTTGATTCAATTAATGATGAGTGTACTATGGGAATGAGATTTTGGGTTCCTTTTATAGGGACTAGGTGTCTTTGAACACATCTCTTCACCAAAGGACGCACCCATCTGGAATAAAAAGAAGTGACTGTTTGGGTTCGAACAGACACAACTCAACCGAACAGTTGCGACACTTCGTGATTAGATGCGCCCGTTAAACTTTAGTTTTGGTCCATCTTCCGACTTGAATATCTCATTCATTTGGAAACCGATTTGGTCAAGTGAGTATACCAGATTCATTGCCTTTGAATGACGAACGCGTTCAAACCCACTCCCATCAATTTCGGATAGTGGGACCCACCAAAATATTTAGCTCAATTTGCTAAGAGGTCGTTTTCATTCATTTAGACTGTTAGATTCGTAAAAAATAATTCAGTATTAAATTAATAACCGAAATCAAATTGAATAAAATATTCTTGAAAAGAACTGTTAGGAAAAACACTTTCTGTAGGAGAGAGAAAGAACTAGAATTGCTGGAGTAAGGTACGTTAAGTGACGAATCTCTTTAAGACAAATTACGCCCCAAGCTATGGTGCTCACAGGATGATCGGACGTTGTCTCCCAAGATACAACACTCCTTCAAGCTTCGGAAAAGCACATCTGCAAAGTTTTACTAGTGAACCAAAGCTAACCGTCCTTTCCACCACTTGACCGGATAGGAAAACGAATGGAAGAAGAACGAACACAAAATTCAGATCTCTCTTAAGCACACTGGATATGATTCAATGTCGAGTGTACTTTGAGAATGAGATTTTGGGGCTTCTTTTATAGGGACTAGGTGTGTTTTGAAGACATCCCTTCACCAAAGGACGCACTCATTCAATATAAAAAGAAGTGACTATTCGGGTTGGAACAAACACAACTCAATCGAATAGTTGCGACTCTTCGTGATTAGATGCGCCCATTAAATTTTAGCTTTGGTCCTCTTCCTACTTGAATATCTCATTCATTCGAAAACCGATTTGGACAAGTGAGCATACCAGATTCATTTCCTTTGAATAAAGACCACGTTCAAACTCACTTCCATACATTTTGGATATTGGGACCCACCAAAAAGTTTAGCTCAATTTGCCCAAAAATTCACTTGGAAAAATCCAAGTTTCCCCAACAATCCGGATGATTAGTTTCATAGTAAATAATTCATTATTAAATAATAACCGAAAACAAATTGAATAAATATTCCTGAAAAGAACTATTAGGAAAAACACTTTCTGTAAGAGAGAGAAAGAACTTGAATTGATGGAGTGAGGTACGTCAAGTGACGAATCTCCTTAAGACAAATTACACCCCCTGCTATGGTGCTTACAGGATGATCAGATGCTGTCTCTCAAGATACAACACTCATTCACTGCTTCGGAGAAGCATTTCTGCAAAGATGTACTAGCGAACCAAAGCTAGACGTGCTTTCCACCCGTTGACCGAAAGGAAAACGAATAGAAGAAGAACGAACACAAAATTCCGATCTCTCCTAAACACGCTGGATTTGATTCAATGTTGAGTGTACTTTGGGAATGAGATTTTGAGTTCCTTTTATAGGGACTAGGTGTCTTTTGAATACATCCCTTCACCAAAGGACGCACTCATTCGGAATAAAAAGAAGTGACTATTCAGGTTCGAACAGACACAACTCAACCGAACAGTTGCGACTCTTCGTGATTAGATGCGCCCATTAAACTTTTGCTTTTGTCCATCTTCTAACTTGAATATCTCAATTCATTCGAAAACCGATTTGGACAAGTGAGTATACCAGATTCATTTCCTTTGAATAAAGAACACGTTTAAACTCACTCCCATACATTTCGGATAGTGGGACCCACCAAAATGTTTAGCTCAATTTGCCCAAAAATTCACTTGGAAAAATCCAAGTTCCCCAACAAGAATTACCCTTTAGAATATATAGAAGTTCGATAATTCAAATCTTAGAACATCCATTGTGTCAACTTCAGTAAATAGCTTATTGTGTCATATTCTTAAAATTTAAGCTATATTCCTTCTATCTAAGGGGAAAATAACGTGCTCCACCAGCCGCCCCTATCTTTCTATGTTGTATTCGTAGCTTTTCAGTGACTTTTCTTGGTTTCAGTCTTTCAGACAATTATTCCCACAGTCAAAGATTTTACGTATGACAAGATCAAGTGATGCATGCATTGGTCATATTCGAAAAGTCTAATTATGTACAAGAATCCCAACTCTCGTACAATTAATAGATTTAGAACAGTAGATTTGATGCTTCCTCTCCTGATTTATTACTCAAGGGGTTATTCATTTGGACATTTGGGGGATAATGAGATAATTTTGGGGATTCTATTTCATAGTGTTATTCATTGGGACAATAGAACAAGGATATTAACTTTTTGTGCTATTGGTTTTTTGGAACACTAGTGAGACAATTTCACAACTTGGGATAAAATTACCCTATTCATATACAAAAATTTTATCCCAATAGTAAAATTTACTCCATCCTTTATATTGGAACAATTTTGTTCCACTTTGAAAGCAATTGGGATAATTTTCAAACCTTTTTGTATTACTTAACTAATACATGCTAATTATATTATAAATATATGACATGATATATAAAATATAAAATCATATTATATTCAATATATTATATTATATTATCATGTAACAAAATAAAATATTATTGTAGTTTAATTTATATGTATAATTTTTTTATGATATTTATTATATATTATTATGCAATATCACATACTATATTATATAATAGTACAACATATTTATTATAATATTATATAATATTTTAATAACATATATTATTACATAATATATTATATTAATTGTAGTTGATATTTTATTGTAGCAATTATATTATAGTGTATTATATTAAACCAGTATAATAATATAGTATAATATAATATAACATATTGAAATTAATAAATATGTTATTGTTTTACATCTAATTATTAAATATAATATAATAAAAATGATGTTATGTGATTACATTATATTAAATTATATAAATATAATAAATATATTATTGTACTATAATATAATACATTTTAGATATTTTTCATATATCATAGTAATTATCATATAATATTATACTATATTTTAATTACAATATAGTATTTTATATGATATTATATTGAATAAAAAATATTAAAATATTTTATGTCGTAAATTTTAACCTATGACTCTGTTCTAATATATTAAATTAGATATTATATTAAATATATTGTTTATATATTAAATTAGTTATTATATATATGACATACTATTATAATATGATATAATAATTAATAATATTAATAAAATATTGTGATATAATATATTATGATACTACTATATTTTAATTACAATATAGTATTTTATATGATATTATATTGAATAAAAAATATTAAAATATTTTATGTCGTAAATTTTAACCTATGACTCTGTTCTAATATATTAAATTAGATATTATATTAAATATATTGTTTATATATTAAATTAGTTATTATATATATGACATACTATTATAATATGATATAATAATTAATAATATTAATAAAATATTGTGATATAATATATTATGATACCATGCTAATATAATATAATATAATATAATATTGAATAATATTAATTAGTAATTATAGTACATCATATTATATTTTAATTTAAAGAAAAATAATGTTTATATTATAATAATATACTAAACCAATTGGATAAGTTAATTTAGAAGTAATTAATAGATAAAATTATATTTTAATAAGGTGCAACATCATCAATTATCCCACATGAATTGTCAAATTAAAGGCTCAAATTGTCTCATTATCCCACTTATCCCACTTTACTCTACTCAAAATATCCCAAAGAGATAAAATTGTTCCATTGGAACAATTTTCTTACTTGGTCCCAACTTGTCTCAACCAATAATCCCCACAGAGAAGCACATGTGATACTCAGTTTGTGAATAACTTGCCCTTTAAGTGAGCCTTTATTAGGGGAAAGAATTCCGAAATATGTTTCTTTAATGAAGCATCTTCTTCTTTTCCACTAGTAATGCCATTTGCATGTGTGACAAAAATCCAATATTATATTTCTCTACCCTGTTAGCAAAGGAGTTATGACGTTTGATGCTGCCTATAAAGGGGTAGGATGATTGTAGTAAAAATGCAAACCAGTTTGTTTCTGAGTTCTAATGGCAAAGGTCTATCCTCGAGCACACCTCTCTTCTTCTTCTTCCTCCTCCACTTCTTCAGACATACAAATCCTTACAATGTGGATGAAATCACTCGTTTTGAATGGAAACGGATGCACCATTTATAATTCTGATGGCCAGATAGTTTATCGCGTTGATAATTATGCTTGCAAGTCCAGCCATGAGGTGTGCCTAATGGATCATGGAGGCAGGATACTTACTAAAATACTTAGAAAGGTAAGATACCAGGAAATACATTGGATATAGTTTGCCAGCTGATTGTATCGATCTGAGATAATTTGCTTGTGATGGATGCAGAAACCAAGAGTTTTTGGACAATGGGAAGGATACCGAAGTGATGGATTAACGGTAGAAGAGCAAGTGCCCTGGTTTAGAGTTCAAAAAACCAGCAGGATTTTGAAGAGAGATCATCATTTTGAAGCCACAGTTACATATGAGAATGGAAATAATAATCTCAGTTGCTATAAGATTCTTGGTTCACCAAGGAAGACCGAGTACAAGATAATAGACAGGCAAGGAAAGCCAGTTGCTGAGGTATGTAGAAATCTTGTGAGTAGGTATCAGGAATTTTTTTTAAAGTTTTAGTTAAAGGGTCAGTAGGGAATGAATTAAGCATTGATGAGAGTTTGTCTGGTGGTATTCAGGTCAAGAGGAAGCTTACAAGCACTGGAGTTGCACTTGGAGAGGATGTGTTAACACTAATTCAATAGCCCAAGGCATTGGGTTCAAGCTCATTACTTACCCTTTTATTCATGTTTTTAAGTAGAAATATCTTTCTTTGTTTGATACAAGTATAAGATCAAGCTCATTACTTCCCTTTTATTCATGTTATTAAGATAGAAATATCTTTCTTTGTTTGATACAAGTACAATAGCCCAAGGCATTGGGTTCAAGCTCATTACTTACCCTTTTATTCATGTTTTTAAGTAGAAATATCTTTCTTTGTTTGATACAAGTATAAGATCAAGCTCATTACTTCCCTTTTATTCATGTTATTAAGATAGAAATATCTTTCTTTGTTTGATACAAGTACAAGATCAGCAAAGTTATTTCGTAAGTGTCCAAAGTTTTAATGAATAAGCATGAAGATATATATATATATATGTGTAGGTACATGTTAAATTTTGCTTGTAGTGAAAGAGTTCAAAAAATTCATATTTGATAGCCAAAACATTTTGTTATTCACCACAAAAGGTAACATATAAAAGCTTAAAGAGCTAGAAAATACCAATCCATGTCCCTACACCCCCGGAAAGACTCCTTGAATCGGATACCAATTAAAATAAAGTTGAATATGAAAGATGACGAGCATTTATTCATGCTCACGTGGGGCTGATTTACTGGTATGTAGAACAGTACTAGCACTTTGGGATTGCTTCCAAATTTATAGATTTGGGTGTGAATTTGTAAATATTATTGATTTTGGGGGTATATAGCTAGACACAGTAGCAAAATCAGAGTAGTGCAAAATTTTAAATATTATTGATTTTGGGGTATGTATTGATCTCCGATCACTGGTCTGCTCATTGTCTCCTTCTCTCGAAATTCCTAATTTAGATTCAATGAGATTCATCAAGTTTTTATCATTTTTAGAAGATTGTAATATGTCTAATTCTTCTAATAAAGTTATTCCGTAACTAATAAGCTTGTTAGCAATGGTTTGGACCGTTTCTAATAGATTAGCAACGGTTAAAACTATTGTAATTAGTCTGTTACTAATAAGACCGTTGCAATTAGCTTATAACAACGATGTACAACCGTTACTATTAGATTATTTTTTAATAAAAAATCCACGTTGGCAAATCTCAACCATTGCTATAATGTATTAACAACGGGAGGCAACCATTCCTATAAGGATCAACCTTTAATTCTATAAAACAATAAAATGTTCACGTCAGAAATCCTAACCATTGCTAAAGCATATTAATAGCTAAAATAACCATGTAAATATCACTGCTTATTTTCATAATCATTAAAATGAAACAAATAATGATTAAACAAATAGCAAGTGTTTGATACATGTTTTATTAACAAATCCAACAATATGCTAATTACAAAACCTGCACTTCTTTAGACCATAGGTTTAATGGTTCCTCGCTCCTTCACACTCTCGATCTCTGAATTTGAAATGCAAATCTAATAAATCAAAACCTACCCAAAAGACCTACAGCAGAAAAGAAATAAACCATGATTAAGTAGACTTGAGCAATAAAGACTACAGTGAGCCCATGTCTTATCAACGTTACACGCCTTTTCTTCATCATGTCTCTGGCTTCTTCTTCCCACTGCATCGCACCAAACTAATCTCCCATTCATCATCTATCACCTTGCAACCTCCATCCATATTATGCCATGCCTGCCAAAAGTTATAGAAATTTAGAAATAGAAAAAAGAAAATTCAAGTCTCTACAGATTTTAATAGTTATTGACATTATATTCACAAGTAGTTATAGTTTTAAACATCTTCATGTATAGCATCGAAAATATTATATAAAAGGATAATGTAACTTCAAAAACATGAATATCATTACATACGGAAAAACACTATAAATAATGTCAAGTGGAGAGAAACTTTATATTGATCTAGGCTACACATATTTTTACACTCATTTTCTGAAAGAACGTGCCAGGGCATTGTCACTAACATTCAAGGCTCACAATGAAAATTTTGAGTTTAATTAGGCAATCTTAGAGGCATGGGCACCAACGCATTTGGAGTAGAGGGAGTCCTATCCATTTCTGCAGGTTAATATTGTATTAAAAGATATAACCATATAATCATGAACCACTCATGTCATACATATTAACTAGATGTTTTCATATTATCAATATGATATTCAAACCAAAATCCTTATATTTAAGGAATTGCAAGTAAATATTATGCCAGAATACTCAAGATAATTTTCATAAGATTGATGCCTCAACATATGAGGTTTCATGGAATAATTATTTAAATGCTAGTAACAAGCTGTAGATCCGCATCAACGATGATATTCATAGAGGTGGAGGCAAATTGATGAAAAAGCCTTAAATGCTCAAAGATCGACTCAAGATAATATCTACTTAAGAAGAGCGTTCAAGTATAAATTCAAGAAAAGCTTCATCAATAAAAAAAACTTAGCAAATATCGATACTCAAGCTTTGTATACATTTGTAAGTGATATTTACATTTTTATTTCTCTCTAGATTATAATGTAGGTAAGAATAAAGTTGATAACTTTTAAAGCATTAGGGGATTATACACACACACACTCTTCATGACTCGTTCTTATCAAAATCTTTAAAAATCATTTTTAAACAAAAGTTTGATTCGAAGAGAATACTTTCTATACTTAGTATTTTATAATTTCAAGTATTTTCCAAAGCCTCAAATTTGTTTTAAGTTGTTTCAGCTATTTTAAAGTGAAAATCAAATTTTTAGTCTATCGGTCGACCGACCGTAATCATCAGTCGACCGACTGTATTTTATTTTTTAGTATCTGCAAATTGTTTCTGTACGGTCAAACGATCAAAAATATCAGTCGACTGGTCCTTTAGCAGTCGACCGAAAGTGTCGACCAGACGACCGATAGTGTTATCAACCGAACTGTACAATTTCAGTCGTTCTGATCAGTTGACTGGTTCAAATTGATCAGTCGACCGAATCGTTGATTTCCAGGTAACGGTTAGTTTATCAGAATCTGATTTTTAAGGGATTTGTTTTGATTTTCGGATTTTCTTCAGATTTGAGCTGATATGATGAGAGACTATAAATAGTCATCAGGTCTCATTTGTTAACTAACTAAGAGAAAAACTTGAGATTTTGTTTTTGAGACATTTAAGCTTAAATCTTCTACTCATTCTCAAGTTCGTCCTTTTTCGGTTTTCACTTTCATACACTCACAATCTCAGTGCTTCAATAGTCAATCTCTTCATCCTTGCCATAGGATTCTTGTAAGAGAGATTGTTATCTTTACCTTGTATTGAGTGGCTTTGTGTGGAGAGTTAGATCTCGAGGAGATCGTTATGTAAGAAGTTCCGTCTTCAAAACCGGGTTGTGTAGTGGATTACCATTGGGAGAAGTGGTCGGGGACGTAGGTCGAGAGTGGCCGAACCTCGTGAACATATCGTTGTCTTCATTGGCTAACTATATCCTACCCTCTCTCTTTTATATTTACTTATTGTTATATTTTGTGTCTTTGATTGAATTGAATTTTTATAAGTTGCACATTTTGTTTGATTACCCTATTCACCCCCCTCTAGGGTAATTTCATATACGATTCAAACAAAATGTGTAAACTGCAATATGGCACGTTCTTGAATTCTTGAAGATAGCTAATTGTCTTAGAGTACCTTCCACCATATGAAAACTTCAAAGCTGTAAGGAATGTTAAGAATTTTCATACTAAAATTCTCTCATACGACAGGCTTTCTTTCGCTAGATTGAACCTGAGGTATTTTATACAGCGATACATCTTTTATAAATTCATTTTAAATGCAAGTTTGATACTTTTTTTTATATATAACTTGCTCAGTTGCAGTGAGAGTTGGGAGTTATAATTTTATATTTTTATAAAATGTTATGTTAATGTATGTAGGATGATGGGTTGTTGAGATCAAGGAGGCGCCCAAGTGTGAGGATGATCAGCATTAGCTGACAAGGGGTTCCTTTTCTTATTTATAACCCCTTCAAGTGTTTGTTTTCCTTCTTTTTATAGGATGGTGAAGTGATGAATGGATATTGCTTGTCTTCTGCTACACATTATTATTTGTTCACGGGTTTCAAATTACGTGTTGCCATTAATTTGACATATGAAGCTTCAAGTTTCTTTGTTACCCGGAATCCTAACACCTTCACTTTTATCTTCGTTTTCCAAAGTTTTCTCTTATTTTCATCATTTTCTCCTCCTTTTATCAATAGAGTTGCAATTATGTTTGCTTTCAACAAGAAGGTCTAAATGATGATGTAATTGATGTCATTACTGTCTTTCTTACTTTTGAGATTTATTTGATTTAAACGTGTTTAGTAGATGTTATTTGGAAATGTATATTATTAGTATTTGTTCTATATGAGCTATATGTTCAATAAATAGTCTTAAAATAGTGCGCAAAATATGATTTGACCTTCTAATGCCTTACCTTTTATAGTTTCTTAACATGCATCACACGCAACGCGCGTATTGCATACTAGTTCTAATAAAAAAGTGGATTACTTACAAATACTCTCTCAACAAAACTTATTTTTACTACACTAACCCTTGTGATGCACACCGATAAGTTTTGTAGTTTGGGAACTCAGGTAGCCTAGGGTTGTCCATCCGGGCCCGGTTGGCCCGGGCTGGGACCGGCTCCGGGCTAGCCCGGGTTTTTTTGTTTTTTTTGTTTTTTTAATTTTTTTTTTAATTTTTAAAAATCCTCATAAATCATAAAATATACATAAAAATTACAGAAAATAACATAATTTTTTTTAATAACTTGAAATGACATAAATTACAAGTACAAAAGATTATAAAAATGAAAGATGATAAAAATAACTTCTTTATTAATAATTAGTAAATCCTTTACAAGTATAAATTTATTTTAGAATTTGTCACATCACATTAGATGAGTACATCCTAACTAGGTTGGCACCTACTCACTTATATCACTATTATTTATAACTTTTTCTGAAATAATTCATTACAAATTTAAAGTTAAGAAATAGAAATTACAATTTGATGAATATTATCTA